ACCAAGAGTCTAAGCAGGCAACAAGGAAGTGGAGTAGACCTGATGACTAAGACCTATCTACAGTATAGGTACCTGTGGATGATCCTAAGAGACCAAGTCTGAAGAGACAGTCCCCAGGCAGAGTAGGCCTTATATTTATACCTCTGTGGTGGAACCTGCTAGAACATCTTGCTTACTCAGCCTAGTCAGGTGATCAGGTCATATGACCAAGGATGAGGTCATATGAGGTCATGCACAGCCATGCACAGCAGGTCACCTGACCATCCAATCCTTTCCAGCAGGTTCCAGCACATGCCAAGGTATACCAGCTTCTTCCATGTCATAAAGGCTTAGTCATGTCTCTTGACCAAGCAATGAGCTGGTGCCCTGACACCCTGACAACAAGCATGTCAGACTTGTTGAACTTCTCCTCAACACACTTAATGATGTGCTTGCCTTCCATGCATAGCTCAGAGAAGAAGGTTGCTTTGTTGCTGAGCCAAAGGGTGTCTGGGCCGGCACTGTAATCATGCAAAGGTCGTATGTCAAGATCAGGGTGGTATCTTGCATACCGGCTAACCAGCTCTTCCTGAAGCCAGTTGTCCAAAGGCATACATTTGCCTACCCCAGCAGGGAGGCATTGTCCAAGGTCTGCCTGTTGATTGACCACATCTTGAGCTTTGACTGCAAGAGCAGTAAGTGTGCCAACCCAGGCTAGATCTTGATTGTGCTTTTCCAGCTCAATGCTGAGCATGCACACAAGAAGGTCTTGATTTTGACCAGCCAGTGCATTGCTCTACCTGGAAGTGAGCATGCAGAGGAAGAAGTGGAGAAGCATACCAAGCATGAGAGGGCCATCTCCCTCTTGAACTCTCAGGCAAACGTGATCTCAACCTCCCCGCCCTTGTGACTGTTTGTCTCTATGGTCTTTAGGACTTTGTTCAGACATTCAAATAGAAAAGTCCAAAATCCCAGGGCTGGACCATATCTTCTGATTTGGGAACCCATGTGGGTCAGCAAATCCACACATTTTGCAAAGTGCAGGATGATTGCAGACAATGGCTAACAGAGCCACTCGAATCTTGCACCCTAGCAGACATTACACTTGATCAGCAGGTGTAATGTGGTTGTGCCAATCATTTCATGCACCTTGAGCAGGAATTACTATCCCTTCATTCCACAAGAGGAGGAGATTGTCAACCAAAGGGCGGAGGAAGCATTGAAGTTGCTGAGCATTAGGCTCATGGGGACCTGGAAGAATACCAACCAAGCATAGGTTGTGAATGCAGAATCTGGTGCAGGGTTAGCTGTGAGAGCACAGGGGTGAAAGGAGCATACCAGAGCTCTGGAGGCAGATTGGCAATACAGACAGATAGAGGTCCAGTAGAGTGGTTCTCAGCCACTGTGGACTGGTTTAGATTAAACCAGTCCATCAAAACTAGCACTCCTAGGCACAATTCAGCTTGCTGTGTCACTTCTTCTTGGTTCCTAGGAAAAAAAACTTCCCCAGAGGGAGTCTTCATTTCCTTCCAGACAGTGCCATCCTGTATTCCACTGTAAACCCCCTCCTTGCTGTTGACATCCAGATATGATTCACATGCTGCCTCAAAGCCTGGTTGAGTGAGGAAATCTTGCAGTTGTCCAGAAAGTAGGTCGAAGGGGGCTGCACAACAAGCACGTGGGTTTCCAGACTTTAGATGGAGCTCATACAATGGCATTTCACACCTCGAACAGTGTCACTGCCATTCAGGAAGAGACTGATCTTGTGAGAAACCAAGCTCATCAAGGAGTTCTTCATCAGTTTGCTGCTCATTGAAGTTTTCGAATTCCCTGCAGGTGGGACAGATAGTTTGCACTTTGAAATGATCCAGTAGACCCAGGCGCTTGTAGATTGTAGTTAGAGTATGGGGCAGTGCAGTGGAAGGGGTGAAAGAAGTGGGTGGTGGCAGGAGGGCAAAAAATTGAAGACAGACCAGAGAATCGAAGCCAGAAACACACAGGCAAGATGAGGCAACTGATAATGTGCATGCATGTGCAATAGCAAGAGGCATACAGCCCTCACCACTGCATTGGCATGTACGTTTAGGAAGGAATTGCCTAGCCTGTGGCTGGTAGACCACATGATTGATCAAGAGGGGTATATCCAGTTTGTCCACAGGTAAGCCAGGATCAGCAGAGTCATTGTTGAAGTCAAGGGGCACCTGCTGAGGCGGCACTGGAGGAGGAGAGGGAATTTGAACAAGGGATGATGGGGCTAAGGTGGACAGTGGAGGGAGTGACAGTTGCAGTAGGGAGGGGCAGGAGGGGCAGGATCAGGGATAGCAGGAGGGGTACAGGAAGCAGGAGGAACTCACCAGCTTCCTGCTCCTTGTACTGCGGCATCTCCATGTCCACACTCTCCCACTCATGACTTGTGTTGTCCACCTGCAATTCAGTTGGTTGAGAGTGTGCAAGCTGGTCTTCACAAAGATTGCTCCCCTGCCCAGCTCATGCAAGTCGATCAGCTTGAGATGCAATCATTTGTCGATGATGCCTTATTGTCTCAACTGTCCACTTCATGCCTTTGTTGCCAGAGGAAGCCTTGCACCAGAGCAAATGCAGTAGACATCTTCTTTCCTTGCAGGTATCACCTTTTGTTTGCTCCTTGAGGGTGCCATAAGTCAAGCAGAGGTTGACACTGTGGGTCAAGATAGTCAGGGACTGATGTTGTCACCAGACAAGGGAATGAGCTCATCTTATCAATGGCAAGCTCATTGTATGCAGTGGTGGAGAACAACCAAGCTGTATAACCCCAAGGGGGCTGGGCTGGGTCATTGGAGTGGAACATAGGACAATTTCATCTGTCCTGGAAGTGGAACAGAAGACACACCACAATGTTTTATGAATGAATGAAATTAGTTGGATCTTAAATACATATCATGCCCTCAAGCAAGCTAACAAAAGAGTGGGAATGAGCTCCCCACTGGAGAAAAATATGGAAAGGAGAGAGATGGGGCAGGAAAAGGTGGGAAAGAAGAGGAGCACGCATAGATAGTACATGAGGAGAGCCTCATGCAATCAGGTCTTGCATCAGTAGTACACAAGGGTCAAGCAGAGGATGTGTTTGCAGGGGAGGTGAAGAGCCAGGAGGTGGAGACGGAGGGGGGGTTGATGACATTGGGGCACTGGATGTTGGTGTGGACCATGTTCTTCTTGAGGGGTGTAACTCTTGCCTTCCCTGCAGCAATGGCACTTGCATCGACACACACCCAGTCAAACACAATTGGCAGATGAGCTTTGGCAGTGGGAACAGCTACAGGTGCAGCAACGCACTTGTTGATCTTGTTCTTGGGTGGCTTGTGTGTCCAGCAAGGAGGCAGAACAGCTTTGTGCTTCCGGTAGACAGGAAGATCTTCATCAATGAGAGCTGCGTCATCCATGGTGATATTGTTGATTGCCAAAGTGGGATTCAGAGATGTAACATCTGCCAAGCTGGAGAATCCTTTAGGAGGGGTGGCAGTCATGATGGTGGCTACTTTGACCTCTGCCATTCTGTTGGACTCAGAGAATGGGGGGGAGATCACAATATTGGCTGCATCACCCTCATAGGGGTGAACAGCAACAATATGAGGGTGATTATCTTGGTTGTGCTGAGCTAGGTGACTGAGATCAAGATTGATGGGCCTTGGAGGATGAGCACAACCCATGTAGTTAGTCACAGTGTCAATGACCATGCTCTCCTGCAGGTGGAGAGATTGAGCTTCATCCCAGGTATGAGCAGATGGAGCTTCAGTGGCCCCAGTGCCAGGAGCCAGGGCCTTCCGCAGGCGAAGGCCAAAAATAGTAATGTGGTTGTGCTGACCACCCCCCTGCCCGACGTCTCTCTTGATACACTGGGCAATCATGTTGCTTGATTGCCCAGCATGGGAGTGTCTGGGAGGGTGGTGTGGGGCACAATCATCTGCAGAAGTGTCAGCTAAGTATATATGCATCCTGCATATATAATGATGTGTACCATTACCCTCCTCTCTAGAAATATCCATGGGGGAGGTAGCGCTCATAATGTCTCCCTGACTCCCAAACATCTCATCATGAGTCAGTAAGGGACAATACCTAGACATAGCAATCAGAAATCTTTTGTAATGGATTGGATGAGTTACTAAACTTACAAGGATGGATGACTGAACAAATTGAAGTATGTCAGCAGTGGGATTGTTGAGTTCAAGGTGGTGGTAGTTGATAGACAGTGAGGAGAGGGGTTGAGGCAATGAGCTCAAAATTCAGGGACTTGATGAAAGAGCCAAGTGCACTTATCTCTGACACTCTCACATCGCCGACCAAAGGGTACCTCCTCCTTGACCTGTACCACACTCTCTTTGCAGCTTCCTCTATGCTTTTCTTAAAATTTGCACTAATATGACTATGCATTTTATTGGTCATGCATAATGGCTCAACACTCAGCAAATCTGGCACTAGAAGCATCAATGGTGTTGCTGGCACTGCCAGCAATGTGGTGTGTGTGCAGCCAAGCCTTGTGCATGGCCTGCACAACCACATTACTGCACAATAACACTTTCAATAATGTTCATTTGGATTTCCAGAATTCCGCCAGTAAGTCAAAGTATTTGTTGTGGCAAAGCTACCCCTGAACTAATCAACTTAGGGGCACTGCCAACAACTCCTATACACATACATCAAATATCATCTGCCATCTCCCTCTTCTCTTCTTTCCAAACCACAACCATCAACCCATCAAGATGGTTGATATTGATATTGACTCCAGCAACTCACCAGCAGCCTTCTCCTCACCCTCGCTGGCCTGCTCATCTTCTCTGATGGAGAAGATGAGCATCAAGATCACTGCTGCCCACAAGTCTAAGGTGGAAATCATATTGAGCAAGGGCAAGATGCCCTCAATTAGAGAAGGCAGGCAAGACTGCCTTCAAGCTCAAGATCATTGGAGAAGGGGGGCAGATGCAAACGTTGGATGCTGATGAGCTCAAGCTCATTGGCTCTGTGTTTCACAAGCTGGAGGAAAAGGGGCTCTCTGTGGTGGTGGAGGAAGGCAAGGAGGAGGAAGAGGTGAGTAGATGGTCAGCAGACCACATACATGCAGCCTATTAGGCTGCATGTAGTAATGTGGTTGTGCTGACTGTCCAAGGTTGGCACCTTAACAGCATGCTAACACTCTCTGCAGGATGACAAAGAAGGAGGGGAGCACTCTGTCTCCCCTGATGTCACTGATGCTGAGGGTGAAGGGGCATCCACTGATCCAACCCAAGAGGTGTCCAAAATATTGGTCCGATGGGTGGTGTGCAAGAACTTGCTAGGGAAAGAGGGGAGAGAAGGGAAAAGTCAGTAGAAACATGGGAGTCAAGCCTGTAGCTGAGCTACCAAAAGTCGGTCTGTAATAATTTGGAGGTTGCTCTCCATCTAGTCAAGTATGTCCAGTCAAGTTGAATATGCTAAGTCAAGATGATGCTGCCTAGTATGGGGATAATCGGATCTGTATAACTCTATCGGAAAAGGGGCAGAATAAGCTAGATACAGGAATTTCTGGAAACTACTTATACTAGCTACTCTAAACTACACTCTATACCAATCCGGTCTCCAGATACCTCTCCAAGGCAGATGTTGGCATGCCGAATATCCATGTGGGTCAATCCCATTGTGGAGGAAACCTGCTGTCATCATGCCGAATACCCGAGGGGTCCCGTTGCCTGGGAACTCGTAGTAGTCACCATGCTGAATATCCGTGGTCGGTCGAGGCTTGTTGCTGGGGTGCGTTGTCCGTGTGGTAAGGGTCCGTAGTGCTGCGCAACGGTCTCTAAGACCCGAAAATAACTGTGGGAATATCGGCTTGACAATCCCACCTCCGGTGGGGTTGTTCACCGCTGCCCCTGTCACCCTCGACATCTCGGAGTTCTCTCGGGAGGAGCTCCTCAAGATTCGCGCCCTCGAGGGCATCGACCTCGACACCGATGACCCCGAGGAGATGGCGTACAATCGCCAGAAGGTCCAGGCGGCAGGAACTGTCTTCGGACGCCGTCTGGAGATCGAGCACCGCGCCGAGGACGACCAGAAGGCGAGGGAGGGCAGGGCGGCTATGCGCAAGGCCTCCCTGCAGGCTCTCTTCGACTCCGCCGCCGAGTCCTCGCGCAAGACTGCGCACGCAGACGCGCCCACACGGCCCTTCAAGCAGCGTCTTGTTCACTGGCGAGGCAAGGCAGCGTACAACCGCGAGAAGAGGAAGGAGAAACTCGCCGAGCAGGGGAAGAAGTCATGGAAAGGCTTGAAGAGTGGGGCGAAGGCTACGGGGAAGTTCCTTCGTGCCCACTGGAAGGAGATCCTCCAGATCACCGTCGTCATTGGTAAGTTTGTTCTTTCTATTCAAAATAATACTGATCTAACAATGTAGTAATAATTGTTATTATAATTCTCTGACAGCCCGCAAATGCGTGAGTGCACACGTTGGAGGTATTCTCTAGCTTTTTTTTTCTGTGTCTCCTTTTTTCCCCTCTCGTCATAGTATTAGTGCGATTCCCCTCTCTTGTAGTGGTTGTGCTGGCGCCTGTGGACGGCACAACCACATTACTATTGAAATGACAATGTATTATTTAGAACGTCCCCCATCTTTCACTGGCCTTGAGTCGACAGTCTATCTTGGTCTGTGCTGGGAACTCTTACAGTCCGCCGATGCGACCTCTGGACCAGACCTATAGAGCGCGTGTATATCTACATAGAATATATTATCTATCCTAGGTGCAATCGAGACTATTCTACAGCGCCTGACTGCTCCTGAACTTGAGACGAGCTACGTCAACTCTCATCCGGTTCAGGGCAGGATGTGGCAGTCGCCCTTTCCTACCCTACCCTATCCTCGACCATCCCTATTCAAAACGCGGTGAGTGTTCGTCACTGGTACCGGGCCTGGAGCAGCTGTCGAGTCAACCAGAAAGTAACCAGAAAGCGTCTACCAAAGCGACCCGAAAACGGCCTTATTCGGAAGACAACTTTTTGACGAAACGGCCCAAATTGAATCCTCCCTCTCAGGGCATGAAGGCAACCTCAACAGAGACGCAACTCGGAATTTACGCTGTTGAAGGACTCAGCGATGGTTACGCATGACATTCCATCTTTGGCATGCTCCTTGTTGGGATCGACTGACTATGCACCTCATGGAACTCGGTACCGATGTCACATTCAACAGTGGGAAGCATGTTGAGATCCAAAAGCCCGTGTAAATCAGGCAGCGTGAATCAGCTGACCAGCCTGTTGCGTCGTCAACAAGAAGCAATGACTCGGACAAAGACATCCATAAGCGTCGTTCGTCAATCAGTGTCCGTGGCCACAACGCGTCGACATATCAGATCCTTGCTCAACTTGGGATCCTGTCGCCGTTCAACGAGCTGCTGCACAGGCATTCGCCGGGCCCGCAGACTAAGCTGGATGAACAAATGTGGCCTGCCACCCGGCTTGAGGGCGCACGGGCCGGTTGGATGGTCAAGTTTGGTGTGGACGTGCAGCAGGGAGCTGTGGATGAGGATGTTGAGATGACGGGATAACGATTTCCATATGCAGTTGCGCCCAATGTACAGTACCTCCTGTAGTCATAACAAGAGACACGTGCCATGATTCTGCATCTGTCTGGGGAGGAGGGTTTGGCTTTGCCCAACAGGGACTTTGAAGAACACTGAGCATCGAGCACGTATGCGAGAAACTGATGCCCCGCGCAATTCCTGTCGTGTTAACCATCCTTTGACTGCTCCACTCTTCATAAGTCCAGGGCCGGCAAAGGGCCTATTGCACGAGAAAATTTAAGAAAAGGGATTGTGTAAGATCCTAGTTGGTAGCGTACCATCTCTGGCGCACCTTTTCGCTTTCGACCTAGACGTAATTCAGGTTATATTCGCAGCGAAGGAGAGGGGAGGGAGCACGCACGATAGGTCTCACGATACCTATAGCGACAAGCAAGCCAAGCACGGTAAGTATCAGCTGAGTCTTATTAAAGTTCTCACCGAGGATGTCAAACCCGCTAGACGGTGCGAGTCGAGCAAGGAAGACGTCCAAGCAGGAGGCGAGTAGGAGAGAAGTGGATTCCAGCGCCGTGGGTATAGTGGACAGGCTGCTGATGCCCATTATGTGCAGGTTTTGGGAAACAGTCCGGCGCGGATCGTCGGTTATGACAGAGTTGAACGGGATTAGGAGCTTTTCTTTTTGCGATGAGGTGAGCTTGCCCGTTGGCCGACGGGGGTCGAGGAGCGCATAGGGGAATGCCTAGATCTAGCTGCGGTCGTTGGCGACTGCCGCACGCACGGCGCACGAGTCAGGCCCCTGGCCGGCAAGAGCGCAGTAGAGTGAGGGACGCGCCGACGACGTCCTTGAGCGTAATACCATACTTTGTCAAAGTGGTCGTGACCGCCTTCCAGGCAGACCCGCGTAAGTCTGGGAAATCACATGCACACGCGAGGCGTTACTCGCAAAGCTCGAAAGTTGCGCGCTGTTCCCCGTCCGCAGTCAGCGCCTGCACCGGCAGAGGAAACGAACCCGGATAGGAGGATAAGGAAGAAGTTGAAGGTGGACAGACCTGCGTGTGAGCTCGTCCGGCTCTCCCTCGTACAGCTCAACGACGACCACTCTCCAGCCCTTAGTCCTCATCCCCCCCTGCTCCCCCTGTGAGACGCCCGAATCCCCATCGTTCCAGAACTGCCACACAAGCCAATTCTCCACCATCACCGGTCGGATATCGCACTCCCTTCCCAGGGGTCGACGAACAGAAGCGTCATAGGTGACCGAGCCGCTCACTTGGTCTACAAGCCGCTCACTTGGTCTACAAGATGGATCCCGCAGCGGGTTTCTCCCGCAGGCGTGGGGTACTGCGTGAGAGCGAGGATGAGGTGCGGGTTAAGATACTTGTATAGAGTCTGTTTCGATCCTAGGACACGGCCGAGGGAGGCGACTGGGCCTAGGGGAGGACGGATAAGCTCCAGAAGCTCGGATTTAGGGGAAGGAGTCAGATAGGTTCGGAACGTCGGGATGGAGGACATGCCCCCGGGAGTGGGGATGAGCGTAAAACCCTGCAGTGCCGCCTGGTCCAGGGAAACGTCGCCCGTACGGAGCGGGAGGGAGAAGTAGAGCCCGTCCCTCTTCACCAGGGAAGCAGAGCGCGAATCCTTTTCGGGGAAGAGGTGCACCTCTCCGGATTGGGAGACGATGACCACTGTCTCGTTATGATTTCTGATTCTGGCCAGGAGGGGGAGGGAGGACAAACGCCGCCTCCATCGGTCCGTCGAAGAGCGTCAGCCCTGGGGTAGTGCCTTCCCTCCCCGGAGGAGGGTGGATCGTCCCGGTAAGGGGGTCGATACTCCACACGGCGGTTTTGAAGCTCTGCAGTGGGGTGAGGGATGAATGAGGATCATGGCAGGGGGCGTACATGTTCGTCCCACCTCTGGCCGAGGACGACCCATGCCACGGCCTGAACTGCCAACACCCGCTGTACGTCTACCCTTCCCACCCCGTGCGGCGCCCCGCTCACCCCGAGGATACGGGAGCACAACACCCCGCCCTGTGCCGAAGGAGACGTCTCGAGCGCATACACCTTGCCGGAAGAGGAAGCGACGAGAGCGAGCTTGTTGAGCGCTGATTGCTGGAAGGTGGAGCTGGCTGAGGGAGGGAAGAGGGAGAGGGAGTCGGAGAACCGGAGGAGGAAGGAGATTGCGTATCCTGGGAGTTTCTCGGAGAGGATGAGCGGGGTCCATGCGCAGGGCAGGGCTGCATACCCAGACAGAGCCCAGCTGACGAACCCACTTCTCCCCCAACCCCTCCGGTGCGTCCCCCACGGCTCTGTCTCCCATCCCCATACCCGGACCCCCAGCGCCTCCCGCCATCCCTCCCCTATCGGCCCAGGCCACCCCCCCAACCAGATCCGCCAGTCCCTCCTCCCTCGTCCACTGGAGCACGTCCGATTGCCACAGCTGGACCGCCCCTGTAGAAGTGAGGAGTAGGAACCGGGGTATAGGTTTCAGTGGTTGGAAGGGGGAGAAGGCGACTTCTAGCGCTACCTAGGGGAGGGTGAGTGCGTTGTTTGGGCCGCGGGAAGGCGTGGGCGTGGCGTGGGAATGAGGGGGGGACGTACAGAAGACATAACCCCATGAGTCTTGGTATCAAACGAAAAGGTAAAGCCCGATACCATCCCTCCCTTTCCCGTCTCGCTCCAGAGATGGATGCTAGCCAACTGGCGTCCCCACGCGCGCGCATGCGATCAGCTCCTTCCTCCTTGCTCCTTTTTTTTGGGAAAAGCGGACTCACACCGAGCGTATGCGTCCAGTACACCCTCGCTACGTGTTTCCCTCCCAAACGGTCCACAGCGCCCGCAAAGATACGTATAGAGTGCCGAGCGGCAAGAGTCGGCGTACTCCCACTCCTCTGCCAGCGTTCCGTCTGGCCGAGCGGAGAGGATATGGGAAGAGCCGTCTTCCTTAATTCCTATTATGAGCCCTGGTGTAGTGGGGAGGGGGATCAGGCGGTCCCATTTACCCGGGAGAGAGTGGGGTTTTGGGTGGGTGGAGGAGAGGGGCAGGAGGAGGGAGGTGAATTTCCCCGAGGGTGAGCTGGGCAGCTACGCCCGGATAGAGCAGGACAGGGTCAGACCGCGGATAAGGGCCCAGAGTGCCTGAATGGACGAGGGAACCAAAGAGGGATAGGACGGCATGGACTATGTTTACCGTTTGTGCTGCTCTGTCCAGCCCCAGCCCCAGGAGGTGGATATGGGACTCGGTAGCGAGCATCTGGAGGGAGAGGTTCAAAGGGGAAGAAATGGCGGTAATACCCTTTACTCCACTTAACGCCGATACATCACACTCCACAGCCACAGCACACACCACCCCACCACCCCACCACCTCACTCCCACCGTCTTACCCCAAACGATGCTCGACCCCACCAGTTACATACCTTACATACTCGCATGTCAATCCCTCCCCGAACAAGACCTCCTAAACCTATGCACAACAGTCCGCCTCCACCTACTAGAGTCACCCAACATCGTCCCCCTCTCCTCTCCCGTAACAGTCTGCGGAGACCTACACGGGCAGTTCTGGGACCTCCTCGAGTTGTTTAGGAAGGGGGGCGATGTGCCCAGTACCAGATATGTGTTTATGGGAGACTTTGTGGATAGAGGGTATCATTCGCTGGAGACGTTCTCATTGCTTATGGCGCTCAAGGTGCGGTATCCTGCACATGTCACCCTCTTGAGGGGGAATCATGAGTCGAGGCAGATCACTCAAGTCTATGGGTTCTATGGTGTGTCCCATCTCTCACTCCCTCCCTCGCTCACTCCTCACTCCCAGACGAATGCCACCGAAAATACGGTTCCTCCCTCCCCTGGCGCACCTGTTGTTCAGTATTCGACCTCCTCCCCCTCTCAGCAACAATCGACGACTCGATCCTCTGCGTCCACGGCGGTCTTTCCCCAGACATACGCACGCTCGATCAGGTAAGAGTGTTGAGTCGCGCTCAGGAGGTACCGCACGAAGGCGCGTTTTGTGGTGCGTCCCCCCCTCCCTCTTTCCTCACCATCTCCCTCTTGCCTCCTCTCCTGTGCATGCACCGGCTAACCCCCCCCCCCCCAC